TTAGCGACTCAAAACGGTAAAGACAGACCAGAAGTGTAAGCGGTGAAGAGCAGCTGAGTGAAGTGAAGACAAAATCAAAAATGGTAATAAAAAAAATGCAGTTCACATGTAAAAAAACAATAACAATTAAATAACAATAAACTGAACAATTAATTATAGTGTTCGCGGTGCGAAAGAGTTGAATATTTCCAGAAAAGTTGGGTGAGCGCTTCAAAACCTTCACCGTACATTTTAAAAGCATAATAATAAATTGTGTAATCGGTTAAAAAGTTCGAGGTTCGGAGAGCTTGAGTATTGGCAAAAAAGTTGGTTACTAGCTTCAAAATCTTTGTTTTATGTTGTGAATTCATATTTTGTGTGGAATACTGCCAGGGTGTCCAGGCAGAAGCAGGTATGAAGAAAAGTAACAACTATCCAATTATAGTTGCAAAGAACACGAGTTTAGTAATTAAGAGAAATGCAGCAGATGAAGTAATGAAGAGTCGTCAGTTGAAATATACGGGAAATACTCTCTATTCCGTTAGATTACATTTCAATTTCGAGCGATCATTTCAGTTGGTAACATGAAGAGGATGATTGACGATTTACGTTCACACGTTCCGGTGAAACTAACTACTGTGGACGTTGTAGACAAGTTCTCCAGAAAGGGGTTGCTCAGTTTGGTTGACCATAGGTGAGCAGAGATGGGGTTCACTCGCCTTGGAACTTGGTTTCCAACCAATGGGTCACAGGCCCAACTCGCACTCTGGCTAATGCAACCTGGGCAACCAGGAATTATTATAAACCTTTACACAACAAGTGTGGCTCATGGAGTAGTATACAAACATGTACCGGGATGTTACTCATGTATTAACAACAAGATTCATCGGTGGAAATACTATGGAGTCGTTATTCGGTTCGTCGCAATTCTTTTCATTACCTTATAAGTACCTGAATCACTAGTTATGCATGATTGTAACCCTAAACTTTGTATTTGAAAACTCTTATCGAACCTCAGCACTAATATGACACTTATTCTTTGGTTCACTTCCATCCCACTTTCATTCAATAAATTCCGCTATGATTATTATTATTATTCTGTTTACCCTCTTTTAACACCTCTTAACTCATGTTTCACCTGTTAAGATAAATGCTTTCTTTTTAATGATACGTTTTTGTATTTTATCTACTTGAATGAAGCTTCATAGTAGTAGAACTCGACTATATAGCCCGGTAAACTATTTTAGGGAGAGCAAGAGGACTGCATAAACAGTAGACAGTTCTCACTTATGATTATAAATCAAAGTACGATGCATAATTAAGTGAAAGATGATAAGGTTTAGAAAAAGGAATCGGTTTAAGTAAGCGCATACCGCAAAGAAGTCAGAAATGAGAAACGCAATTCTTAAACTAATTAAGGGTCAATGCAATTTCTTCAATGTACTCCGCTTTTATTAAATAGCCTAGGATGCATAATCAACAAGTTTATAAATTTTTTGACACACGAAAAGACTAGCATTATTTTTGCTTATGTGAATAAAAGCAGGTGTAGATTATGGTTTGTCACAAGTGAAAAACAGGTTGTTAAAGTCTAACAAAATAAAGCACCTACATATATTTGGCCGAAGAAAATCGAAGTAATGAGATAAAATGTGAATTAGCTACGAATATGAATAAAAATAAAGATCAATACAATAGATGCTGTTTTTAATGAGACAATCATAGATGCAGCAAAAAGAGGTAGTTGTAGTGAGACGATGCAAGTAAAACAATAAACGAAGCCCAAGGTACCTAGGGGGAGGCAATGGAATAGTTATTTGAACTATTCTGAATATTACGACTACAAAACAACTAGTTAGTCAGAAATTTATACACGAATGACCATTATTAATATTACTGTAACTACTACTAACACAAATGATAGCAACAATGCTGACAGTTGAAATACACATTAAAGTATTAGGGATGATAAAATCTTTTCAAAAACAAGACTCATTCAATAAAAGTATTTGACATATGAATTAAAAAAGAAACCAAAAACAGATTCTTGACGGACGGGGTAAATAGCATCTTTATATAATTCATCTAAGATGGAACCGAATCAAATTAGATGAGACAAGTTAATTCGTTAGCTCTCAATAATTTCCAAGAGACAAGTTTAATACTGCCATCGTCAACAGCCAGTATTTCTCTTCATTTTAAAGATTTAAGCATAGCAGACTATTGCGCTACATCGCTCATAATAATGTTATATATATATGGCATTTTTTTCATCCGGAACCAGTTCATGAGGACTGACACGATTTTTCAAGTAACCAAGGTAAGATTATATTAGAACTTCCAAGGCACTCATAAATCATCATCATCATCATTATCAACATAGGACCAGGCATTACTGCGTAACGGTCCGAGTTGCCACACCTCATATCAGCACATCAAGTAAAAAGGTAGTGAGGTGAAGGATGAAGATAAGTGAAGGCACTCATAAAGCTATGATCTCGAGACTTAGGACTGAAGTCGTCTACGCACTGGATCACTTTAATCCCTATCCTTAAACAATAGATGTTGGCAAACGGATCCCAGGGGATCATTTTACATAAGATAGATGAGAAATACATGACACAAGACCTTGAGTTTCGGCCCAACAGGGCTAGCCTATTTGAGCACTGAAAGTTAACTATTTCTCTCCCAGAGAGTAAGTCACTCCCTGAGAATTCAGAGGTAAATATGATTAAACCCATCATTTCTAACAAATTTACATAAGAATGGTGACAAGGTACATCATTTAACTGACAGCGTTGATCGGCATAATATGCTTGGTTGATACTTTTTTCAGACTGGTGCAATAACCCTCGATCGATAGGGTTGAATGCTCCATTTACGTCGATAAGTATGACAAACGTCGGTTATCGGTAGGTATCCATTTGTTCTAAAACATGCTGAAGAGTGACAACATGATCAAGTCACCCACATCTAGGTTTGAAATTTGGTTTCCTAGTGCGTTGTTCTTTGGCTCCAGTCAAGTGTTGAATGACTGCGGACTGCACTATTTTAGCCAAGTTAACTATTCTGCAGTTATTACAGGAAGAGTTGTCTCTTTTCTTATACACTAACTTACACTCTGTCTACTAGACAATAGCTAGCACCTAAGTATCATTAGTTTTCCGTATCCATTCATGGAATTCTCAGGTTTAAAATACCCACTTAAGCGTTGGAAGACCAACATCTACAAATCATTCAAGTTCTGACTGGATGTTGTAAAACTGAATCGTGTCTGTAAGTTAGTTGAATTGTTCCAAAAAGTGTTCTACCCAGCCACCTGACAGGTTATTAGGAACTCGTCCATCTTGGTGATAGTCTCACGGATGATAGCCTTTGTCATATCAATCTTTAAAATAAGCCCGAATAACTGCTAAAATTATATGGTAGGTAGACAGTAGGTTAGCCTAATATCAGTAAGAAGTTATGGACAGTCTTAAGAAATTTGCTCTTGATGAGTTTGAGCTAGGCATTTCTGCTGTGTAATTTTTACTAAAGATATTCTGAGTCGCACTACATGAAACTGGACAACAGCTTTATTTGATTAAGTGATAAATTTTAATATATCCAGTCTTGATCATTTTTTAGACAGTCAATCGATTATTTTCTCATGAAAGCTAATCATAAAGCCCCGCCACGACAGTATATTGTGATTGGCAAATCATTCGATCAGCATTGTATCTCAGCCATCATTCAATCACTACTATTTCTACTTACTAACATCAGTGTTACCTACGGTTGATGTCGTCTTCATCTCTTCCACCTCCGCCATCTAACACTTTTCATGGTTATTAAGAACACTTTGAACCAATTTATAACTGAGATATTTTCGCTCATCATCGTGATCAGAGTCATCCGGAATGACTTTTCTTGAAATATACTTGATATGAGTTCTGCTCAAGATTTAACTAGAAAATTTCACAAATGCTGAGCGCCGAGTGAAAAAGCTGACATTGAATATAAGTTAAATTTACATAAATCTAAGCTTGTTTGAAAGAAATGGTTCCAATGTTTGGTACAGAAGTCTGGTTATAATCCAGAGAAGACTGGACAATGGGACAAACTATATATATATATATATATATATATATATATATATATATATATATATATATATATAAACGATGTTTTGGAATATTTGCCTGAAGAAGCTCAGACCAGACTTCCATGCAAAACGTTGGAATTATTTATTTCAAACATGCTGCGATGCATACCAATATAACGTTTATCTTCCAGTATACCTTTCTGCAGGCGGTAAAAAACTGTAAGAGGAAATCATTTTCCAATAATTTACTCAAATAGTATATTTTGTCTGGTGGGGAATGCTCCAATATAACGCGAAATGAACGAAGAAAACGTTTTCGCAGAGCCACGAGAGGTATACAGAATTTAAACAGAATATCAATTTAAGCATATTTAAAATCACTAAGATAAGTGAGTTAAATGATCACTGACATGTAAAAGGTATAGGACAACAGTTTTGATCTTGTTTGGAACTTCAAAGTTCACATCCTTAAAGTATGATAAATAGAATAGTCTTCAGGTCTTATGATGAGCACATGGATAATGAACATTCAGGTCAGATAAATACGCGGTCGATCTTTTCAGATTTCATTCAGTTTGCAAAGTGTAATAATTTTAAAATTGATGTAAATCAGATACCCATACACATATGTACTACAATACGAACGCTTATGATCCCACCTATTTGCTCACGCCAATTCAGGTAGGGGCAAGAATTATCTACAGAACTCATTGGGTTCAGTATACTGTACTAATTTTTAGTTGTTATTAGAAACTCTGTTGACGCTCTTGACTTAGCTTGAGAAACAGGTCTTGGCTACAGGTTTGAAAGTTAAGCAAACTAAAGCGGTATTTATCATGTGAAGGTCAATCCACAAAATGATAACAGTCAGGATATATCTACACTTAGAAAAAAGAATGCACGTATAGTAAATACCTCGGTCATTCATCGTACTTACCTTACTACCTCGCACTCTTTTAGTTCGTGTAGTTTTGTTTGCTCCAGATGCTTGCTTGTTGCTTGTAGCAGAGCCAATAATATTTTCTCCAATAATTCCAAACATAGTACGATCGTTGTTACCAACACTACATGGATCTGGTACAGATGAAAATGCCGGGGTCGTATTTAAATGGACAGCGGATGTTACTGTGATAGGAGGTATTGCCATAGACGTAGGGTTGAAAAACGATGGATTGACTGATCGACAAGGCAGCATAGAAGCAGGTTGATGATATGGTGGAGGAGCTGGTGTTGAATTCCCCATAGCTACATTCATCACATTAGCGTGAATAGGACCATTCATGAGATTTCCAGGGACTGGAGAAGAGACTGGCATAGTCATCATCATTAGGGGAGAACTGTTAGCAACAGATCCGTCAAAATCATTTTGCAGTCCAGAAATCTAAGATTTGGAGTCATAAGTAATTGAGTGAAGCAAAACAGTGAGAAATAAATAAATACTTTGTAATACTTCATTTTTATTTACGGAACAAAATTGCTGCACTATAATGAAGTTACCAATGGTGTCGTTTGTTACGAAATTCGGGACATTATTATAACTGTCATTTCAACAACAAAATGAAAGACATGGGCACCACAAACCCTTGCCAAGAGAAAATTACGTCGCCATCAAGAAGACGTAAAAGTGATATAGAAGATGGGCATCGAAAAAACCTCAAAATTTGACACATTTTTAAAGAAACTGTCAAATCCGTACTACTTTTCAACAGAAAAAAGCTGCTGAATATGTCACTTTAATTTGGAGTCATCTGGTACCGCCAGAGAAATCTCGGTACGAAAATAAAAGGTTCCAATGATTTTTGTCAACCTACATGACTTATGGAGCCCGCAAAATATCCAATCCACCATAAGTCGAGTGGACTACACAGCAGTTCGCTCTGTCCTACTATACAGCTGTGAAATATGGCTGGTAGTTTGAACGGTATAGAAAAACGTAGACTTCCCGGTTAGTGTGCGCATAGCAACCATAGTCGATGGTCATATACTTTGTATGATATTGTTGAGGACCGATTCCAAGTGCGTAAATATATCCATACATTATCTCCACCCTAGCTGTCAAGTAACACTTTGTTGTTTGCTTTAAATGCTCTTCTCGCCTGATGACTGAATACAACTTTTGATCTCGTGTTATCCTCCTGGTTCTGAAATTTTCTTCTTGTAACCTTGTATCTCATTATGCTGATGCGAGATGTGGTGACTGGAATAGTTATGTAACAACGACAAGTCCCCTGTTGATATTGACTGTTATTGTCTTAAACTAATAAGTCCTATGATTTCTCAGACTCAATCCAGGGAGCCGTGAGGGATGAGACAAGTATTAATTCACTACGACTATTTTTTATACAGCACTGCCCGATGATGTACTGATCAACTCTGTGTTTCCTGCACCTGATCCCAGAGTTAAAAGACAGCTAACAGTATGGAGGCAGTAGGACCGATACTTGTAAAAAAATGTGAATACCAATAAAACTTATGTCCGAAGACTATATCATCATGAGATGAATGACGATCACTACTATATCTAAATACGCCACTAACCTTAGAACTATTTACCTGGTTTTGCCACCGAATAAGAGTAATCCTTCCCAAAAGGTTTGTTAAACACAGTTATCAGATATCTTTAGTTTGAAGAGACCAGTTATTACAGGTGTAGAGCAGAGTTGCCAGCACCAATGTCTTTTTATTCCAAATATAGGATCCTGTGGCTTTCCATATACAGTTGAAAATCTGATGAGTCAAACATACAACCGCACATGTACGGCAACCCATCAAGCGTGACTGCAGTTACAGACTCCCTGCAATCTTATAAAAGAATTTTGCACTTCGACGGTACAAAGCACATACCACGGACAATGATTACCAACTGACTTAGTTCAATCTGAGTAACCTGTAAGTTGGCTTTTTCCAGGCATCAGATCAAGACAAAGAAGCACATACCTCACAGATATATCAAGAATGTCGTTTAAAGGAAATGACGTAGCCCTACTCGACAACATTGCTGGTTCGGAACACCGTAAATAAGTTATTAGAATAGTTGTACCAGAAGTGGATTCATAAACTGTCATCTCCTAAAAACATCATTCTTTATAGATAATTTCAGACAGCAATTCCTTCGAAGAAACAGTAAGCGTTTTTAATATCACGAAAAACAACTACTGCAATGTGTGTAACAGTACTCAAGTATCTGACGAAGGATGAACAAGTGGTCACTGGACACCCATGATCTGATAGAAACAGTCTACTCCTTGCGGAGCAGCTTCTCAGGCATTTTGAAGAACTTGAAAACCATGATAGCAATTGAAATAATCTGATGCAGGTAGTGGCAAACTGGTAACCCTGATAATTTTTAGAAGTAGTATTCACCATGGACTGACATCAGTTGGGGAACCATTGAAAATCTGGGGACACTGGACAGCTGTTTCGTCCTAGTATGGGACTCCTCAGCAGTATGCGCCCACGAGCCGGTTAGGGATCGAACTGGAAACCGACCCAGTGGCTGAATGGTCGACGCGTTCGCCGTGAAACCTGGAGGTCCTGAGTTCGATCCCTAGCTGGGTCGTGGGTGCGTACTGCTGAGGTGGTCCCATACTAGGACGAAACAGCTGTCCAGTGTTCCCAGATTTTCAATGGTTTCCCAACTGATGTCAGTCCATGCTGAATACTACTTCTAAAACAAAAAATCCCCATTCATCTCAAAAATCCTGATAATTGTCATATAGGTTATACAAGCTTCGTTAAAAAACAATGATGCCCATATTCCAGAATGACAGACACACTTAAGACAATCTAGTCAGTCCTCTAACCAGGTGTATTCTTAAAAAACCCGGGATAAGTTCTTCAGGCCTTGTGATGATTAAGCTATAAGACATAGTTGTTGACTGAGCCTCAATTTCATTCCAATGATGCTAAGAGTTGGTATGGCAACAAGAGCGATAATGGACGAATATTCGCCTGTCAATTATTAGCACTAGTCATGTATTGTAAAAAAAATTCGAAACCTATACAGTAGCAGGGTTTCGTAGATTGCTAGGTATAAAATCTCGTGGTAGCCAACATCGTTTATTTAAATTCCCGCTGTCATCCCGATCTTTAGTGTAAATCCAATCACCACTCCATTGCTTAGTTAAAAAGCGATCTTCAGTTTATGAAATATCGTATAACTCTAAATACAAAAAGCTTAACTGAAAAATGATGGTACAACGTCTGTGTGAGCAAACAAACATACCTGGGAATTATTTCCACTAAAAGATGCAGATGACGTAAGGGGATTTAGGCCCGTTGAAAGATGGAAATTGGGATTTAACAGCATATCACCTCCTGAAGTTAATGAACCATTTATCGAAACTGCAGTCATCACAACTTCGCGACCACCAGAAGAAATCGGTCTGCTAGGAAGGTAACACAGATCCCCGACACCTGAGTTCACCTAAAATAAGCAGAAATCATTGTATGTAACAACCTGTATAATTTTTGGGGAAAAAACTAGCTGCTTTCTTTAAAGTATACAATTACGAATTATACACATTGTTCAAATCAACCTGGTACATTTTCACGTGTTAGACCGTGATTCACATGTAGAAGCGGGGCTTAAACCCGAGACCCACTCCTTGAAAGTTGAACGCTTAAGCTAATGAATCACAGCTCAAGAAACCGGTGAAAAATCCACCATTAATACTACTATTTTCCCTCAAAAACAGACGAAAGGAATCACAAATTGTGAGTTGATTGTATATTTCGCTTATGATATATGTCAGGACATAAAAATAAACTAGTTATTACTTTACCTTTTAGCTGTCTCCCTTTTGAATCTCAGACTATAATTCAGTCACTTATTTAACTTGGAACAAACGATTCGGTGCCCACTGGCTAGAAACCATTTGCATGAGTTTTTGTGATTATCAGGTTGCACTCAATTTATGTCGTAGAGATTTTGTCCCCATTTCCCATACGCGGTGAATTAAATTATCGTTACACAGCTTACAGTATTAAGCGGACCATATCATCATGTAATAATAGAATGTAACTCATTTACAGGCTTGTGTACAAGGCTATCAACCATACAGTATGACAGACTTTCAATTATAATTGGTTACCCAGGCTGAAGCGGGTACGACATAGTTAGAATCCGAGATAGATTGCTTGAAAGTTGAGCGTTTATACTCGTAAGTCACATATTTATACGTTCTCATAGTAATACATAATACATGCGTTTTATAAATAACTAAAAATATATCAAAAACACAAATAAAAGAAGCTTGAATTGCTTATAATAGTCATATTAAAAGCAGAAAATTTTTCACAAAACTGAAGGAGATTTATAGTACTAGTCAACATTTCCATTCCACCCGTCGGCCACAGCGGCCAGGGATAAAGTCTAGAATATAATACTATCCTATTATACCAAGGAATGCAGTACCAAACATTTTGAAGTGTAGAATCTTCAGCTTATGTTCATAAAGACTGAAGCTCAGAGAAAAACAAAAGTAGCATCATAATCATTTATGCCAAGTTGTAGACAGTATCAGCATTCCAGTCGTCTACTGTACCTTCTTTTTATTTCCGTATCTGTTTGTAATAATGAGAAAACACTGGACAAGTTGTCATATTCGATGCTTTCCAGTCAGAAAATGTACATTAGAGGGCACAGATGATTAATACGTTTAAATCTTGAAGGGTCAATTGATGAAAAATGTCGCTATTACACTAGGTCATCAAATGAGAAGAAATGAAATGCCGTTTACTGTAAGCCAAGAACTCAGGTCAGGCGGTAGAGTATAATCCCATATAGCACAGAGTGATACGTCATCTAGTAAATAATGCTGTATCACTGTTTTCCATACCGAATAACTTTATGTCATATGGAGTAGTCTTTGACTGACTTCAGAAAAAAATTATATTTTATTCTCCATATATGGATATTCATTTACAACAACGTCTACTAGTATTTAACCATGCAAACACTAGATTTGAAATGAGATATAGTATGAGATATGTGTAAATCGCAGTGTGTTTGAAATAAAATAATGACAAATACAAACCCTACCTAATATCAACTTTCTACTGAGTCTAATATCTGAGATACCATTCAGTCAAATCCTGATCATTGTTCATATAAACTAAATCTGAGCTTCTGAAACTCGAAAATATAGGACATGACATTACTGTGCAACGATTCACGTTGTCACATGTTACATTAGCACATGAAAGTGGAAGTCAACAAGATAAGAGAGATATAAGTATATGTAAAACCCTAACGGAAAATGAACAATAAAGTGAATAACGGTATACGGTATTATACTTACGCGAGGATAAGGTTTTAGTGTAATTGTGACAGTACAATAGCTCCCAACCTATCAGAAGAATAAAATAACTACCAATATACTAAAAGGATGTATAAGGTCAATTAATTCAATAAGTAGCTAATCGGTAAGAAAGAAATAATCCACAGAAGGCAGTTTATAAAAAGTTGTATGTTGAGCGTGATTTTGAAAAGATTATGTTATGACTTCCCAAAACTTACATGAGGTCCCAAAGCACGTGAACTGCCAGTTGGCAAAACACATGGTGGAGTAGAAGAAGTGGGTACGGCTGTTTGGCCATTGATCATAGCTGTTGGCACAGAATGCCCTGTAGGTGCGCAGGTATGATTAAATACTGACCCGGTAGTGCCACTGACACTACACCCTCCACTGGGTCTGACACCGGGTGGAATAGATCCTGGCCCAACTATTTGTGAAAGATTCGAAGAACACATAGAGAGTGAAGATTGTTGCGTAGGTTGTTGAGACAATGTGTGATGCATGGTAAGGCATGTATTGCCTTGAACATCCCTGGGAGTAGTGGAGCGTGTTACTATAGCTGCTGCTGTTTGTGAGTTTATTGGGTTAGGACTTGGTCGAAAAGCTGGTGATGGTTGAGAATACTGCTGATTTCCATAGCCTGAATTGGAATAAATGCTAGAATTGTTTAAAGGGCGTGACTGTTGTGAATTATACATTTGCTGCTGTTGCATTCCAGGCGTAGAAGACGATACATTAATAGGAAACTTGAGAACGGGAACCGGCAGGTTGTCTTGATGATTGTCCAGAACAAGATATACCTGGAGGTAAAGTATTGTTAATAATCTGAGGAACTGTACTACATGTGGACATCGCTGCAGAATAAGGAATAGATACTCCAGACCCTGGTTGCGAAGTGAACATTCTGAAGAATATGGAAGGTATAGCGAAGATGGTTGGTAAGCTGCGAGAGGAAAACAAAAAGACAAATGCGAAATGACTTGGAAATCACCAGTACATTTTCCAAATAAAGAATTAAGAGTAATGTCGTAGCAGAAATGGTATTCGTGATCAGTTTTTTGCAATACTATTACTGAAGTAACAAAGAAGTAATAAGAACGCGACAACACGTAATCTTATGGTGTTTTAACAGTACTGATTTCCACTAGCGAACTTAGGGTAGTTCCAGATACTGATGACAGTTTTCACATTGCTTAACGGAACAACTACAAAGCAGAAAAGATCTGAGTTTTCAATCAAAAAATGAAAAGAAAGCAAAGAAAGGTTAGCGCCATGAATAAAGTCATGCACTCAATCACATCTACTCATCAGTTTCAGTGACTATACTGATGTCAACCTGAAAGCTTACATAGAATTAGTAGATTCTTATAATACATTTCATTGCACGATTAATATTCCGGAACAGCATAAAAATAGGTTACCCAGTTGATGGGAAGTGAAACCGTAATGACTGTTCTTAAAGGATACTGCAGAATAGATAATTTTTTATGTACAAGGAAAGGTGCCGCTGATCATACACCGGTAACCGCTTCAGTCTATCTACAGTAAAATGTAAAGGTATGTCGAAATCAGAAACACAAACACAATCATCCCAGATATATTAGTGACAAAGGTTGATGAGCATTGACTCTAACTTTCGTATCTCGGTGGTATCGCATTTTCTGACCTATAAATATTCTCCAGCACTTCAAAAATCTTGTATCTGTCGCAACATTTCATTGAATCTTAGCAATTCAGTAGTAAAATACAGGTTCATGCAATACACTGAGACTTATTTTACTATCTGCTCATCTAAAGTTCCGTTGATGAAGCTTTGAAAACAAGAGAAACGGCATGATATATGAACTCGCTAATTATTAAATACTGTTTTATGGGGTATAAAGTTAAGTATCAGACTTAAGTGCGGTACAGGTTATTAGCTGTAAGGCTGTATGATAGCACCACTTAAATAGACGACACAAAATATATTAACATTGTGTCGTTTTGAATTTCGATGAGCACTTTACGAAAAAATGTTATAAAATACTTGACTTTCATGCAGCTATCGTATCTTCTTCATCATGTTCTACAATACAAATGCAGCCGGTGAAAACAATATGCTTTATTGAATTTAGATTCTTTACAACTCCGTTGGTCATTGCAACAAGAAGGAAAATACACCAATAACATGAGATATTTTACTGAAAGTGTATCCAAAATAGGTTATAAAGAGGTATTAAAATTGGTTACCAAACAGGAATTCTTAGTTGCACAAAAATCCGATTTATACCTGACAAATGTTCCTGAATCTACAAACCAATCAGCTAGTTAGTAAATCTCTTGTTTTTTTAGAAACACATTAGTAAATTACAGTAAGCAGATCAGATAGTTCACCTGGATGAAGACACCGAAAAGATGTGGAACTTGGTCTAAACCTGAGATATAAATATGAGCTTGTTTAAAATCACTTCATTTGATATCTTGTGAAGTGTTATCAATAAACGAAATCAAGGTGTTGAGGTAGCAAATGGTTCAGTGAAGACTCGCATTGCATACCCGAATTGACCATTTGGATAATAACTGATGTAGCAACTAAGTTATGGTTATCCTGTCAAAAAGGTTGATCATGAAGCTAACAATTACTCTGATAACAAATTAAAGCCAATGAGAAGCAAAAACTTAACAAATTCTGACTAGCTTTTTTCAACTTTCTGTAAAACAGTCGGAAGTGATTTCTTATAACCGGATAACATCAAAAATGTAACAGTAACTCAACGAAACAACTTTTTAAAATATATACTCACCAGCTGGCTCAGAAGACACCACTCTTGTAACAGATGATCTACCAGATACCTGTTGTGTTTGTGGCATACTTCGATTCATGCTATTTTGATTTCCCATTGAGATATGGGATGTTCGCTGTTGATGAGATCCCATGGCACTGGAATTAGGAGTAGAAACTAAGCCATAAGAAGGAATTGATGTATTCGACATTATTTGAGAATGTGCTAAAGAACCATTCGAATTGGTATTCCTAGTATAATTTAAATTCGGAGGGGATTCCGATGTTGCAACATTCTGAGGCATCTTATCCAGATTAGAATTTACTATCATCGTAGGATATTGTTGTTGTGCTTGAAATGAAGATAACTGGGAGTTATTCATCATATCATTGTAAGACTGCTGCATTTGAGGATATTGTTGGACTTGGAAGTGAGACTGTGATTGCATTTGAGGTTGCGGACTCATTGTGGTACTCGGGCAACCAAGGCCGGAAGCAGATACGGAACCATGGTACATAGCTTGATTTGATGCCATTGCCTGCACAGGTAACGGTTGACTATTTGCAACACCATAGTTAAATGTTTCGCGTTCTCTATACATATCTGGGCCGTTTGTAATACTCGTTTGAAGGATAGGGGGATATGCACAGGCAGGTCTAAGCAGTTTTTACAAAATTGAAACAGATACATAAATGAGACTAATTGTTAGAAGAATTCATAATCAGCATGCATATAGCAAGTGCATAAAAGAAGGTTTATAATAATACGAAATGAAGAGACTAATTTGTAACGAAGCTATTTATGAACTAATTATTATATTTGGTATCATTTAGGAAAAATAACAGTATTGTCCATCATTTAGGTTTTTTCATATTTCAAAGAAATAATTCAAATTGTGACACTCAAATAAGTGAAAATTCTCACAGTAGATTTTACCATTTATATTAGGTCATATAATCAGTGCACTATATACTCAATCTAGCAAGTTAAGAACCATGTTCATTAGTGATCTATTGGAGAATAGATTTGGCTCGTAGATTGAAAAAAAAATTAAAACCAGATAAGTATGACCAAACTATGAAAGAGGACTATTTCAACAGTTTTTTTTTAATTAGGAAATTAACTTAATACACTTGGTAAAATGAAACAACCAAATTGTACATTGCATCACTCATAGTCTTAAAATACCATTGAAGTGAAAAAAAATGAAATGAATGAAAATGATCTATTTAAATCTAACTATTTCTTGGATTAAAAGCACACAATGTCAAGTATTAACTAGTAACCAATCATCCGGAAAGTAGAATTACTGATGACAACAAACTTTTTGTAGTAAAATGTATATTTTATTGGGACATGTTCTTTTGTTAACTCCTGCGTTTTGTAAGAAAGCCGTAGTGATCATTTATAAAAAAAAGTATTTTAACAACAACCATTGAATTTCATGTGTAGCTAGCTATACCTAATTAAAAGTGAGCTGCAATTTATGTGCCTGCTATTATGACGTAAATAATGATGTTTTGTAAAAACTAAGAGACTGTTTCATACTGTTGATTTGCAAATCTTCTCTAAGGATGAACAAACTCCAGGAGAATGATCCTTATAGAATAACCTTGACTAATATACGAAACTCATTAGACAAAACGGCTGGTAAACGTGATTCGAGATGTCAATAGATGATGAGTCATATTGATTAAGATACAGGAAAGTATGGCTATGCAGACCAGTTGAGGAAATGCATATGTAACGTTTTTATAAAGTCAACTTTCTAAACATCGAAATTATGAAAAAACAATTATTTTCCAAAAGATATAAACTTTATTATCGTTGAAAATTCCATTTCAATATCATCAACTTCTAACTCTATGCTTAAATGAGGAAAACGGTTACGTATGAATAAAACCTATTATTAACACTCTAGTAAGTCAACTTGTTCACCCACTAATTGATCCAGCATGAACAGTCGAAGAAAAACAACATAAAGGCGATTTAAGTTACCACCAGTCACCTCGGAGTGATGTCAACAAAAGGTGAGATAGGGGAGTGAAAAAAAGTAGAACACACAAAGAAAATCCAACTAAAGAAATAAGGGTGGCGAAACTTTCTATGTCATCAAAATAACAGTGAAGTGTAACAGGCCTTTGATAACTACACTCAAAGGTGTCATAACAAGTCAAGAAGTATATATGTTAATTGATTTATAACTCAAACAGTCACACACTTCATGCAATTGTTCCATTTCGAGGATTAGCCAACGTTAGGCCATTTTTGATTCCTTTTCTACTTCAGTCAACCTACTACATACAGTCTTTGATTGTAGCAGTGAAATGATGGAAAGGATTTGTAACTCAGGATAACGATGGTGGTGCGGTGTCCTCCGAACTTTGGTATCTTGTCGTATCTTGTCATAAACAAACTTCTTTATGTATTATATCTATAGAGCGTGAATTTTATCAACATTTCATGCAAGCAACACCAAGATTATGTCACTAAACAAACTGTCAGAAAATACAGATATCATAGGCAGACGGTCAATGTGAATCGAACGTGCATTATTATTAGATTGGTTTTGTCAATCCCGCCAAATCAGTATTCTTATAAATGATTCCGGAAACAACACATTACAAAAAAACCTGTTTTACACAGAGGCACAGAACAGAACCACTTTATAGACGAGCACATCATCTCTCATCAATCTAGGGCAGCCAATTTGACTGCCCAAAGAAAGACAGAAAGGTTGAAAAACAATAACAAAGAACATGTGATAACCGGAATATATACACAAACGGATAGACAAGCAGCCAGAAGAACACCCAGAGTAAAACAAATAGTAAAATGACGTTTTGCATGCGATTAAAATTCTGGACATAAAGTTATAGACACACGCACATACATTTATGATACACATAGGTAGAGAGATAGACAGGCAAGTGGGCAGGCAAAAATAACAAAAACAGTAAAAATGAGAGTGAATTACTTAGGTTGATAGTAAGGGCCAAACAACAGAACGATCAATGCCACAGTATTACTTATTATTTAGAATGGACAGTAGGTGGCAAGTGCAGCTTATTTTCTAAGCTGTTGAGAGACAATGGCACACCAAAACTTTACCAATGAGACAAAACTGTTAAACCAAACTGGTAGAAAAATTGAAGCCGAGTTTAGACAAAAGGAGCTATGGTGAGATAAGCCAATCATCAGTGGTTAAACAAAAGATATTATGAAAAGAACTACTAGTTACATAGCGAGGTATAAGAAAAAAACGGAAATTAGTGTGGCTCGAAAAGATGTTAACGCTTTAGTAGCAGTTAGTATACGTGTAAACCCAGACCCGAAGGAAGTAATACAATTATAGTGATACTGAATAGAAAACAGTACGCATATGAAGTCATAAAATAAGGGCAGTCTTAGGAAGAAAATGTAGGCCATACATGTTAATAACAGTAAATACAGATTCGGAGATAATTCCATGAAATCATAGTCCTTTCACAGATAATGCCACTCCAATCAGTTATTGGGTTTAATTGAGAATCTTATTCTAACTTTAGATGTTACCAACTGTAAAAATGACATTAACACATCCACTGGGAGAAAGAATTCTCTAGAAGTTTAACCCTTTAAAAAGTACCTTAAATCTAATTCGATATTAAATGTGTCACATTTGTATGACATGACCAATGAAATTCAGTCAATGGTAAACAAAATCCTTCACTGTTTTCATGTAAACCTAGAACACCTTTGGTAACAGCAAAGGACGAAAGTAGATAAACAGGGAAAAGGATGTAAAGTAGCACATAGGTAGATAGGATTGGTGGCACAGAGGAAGTGAATATCAGCAATTAATTTTATATCATTTATTTGAGGAATCGAAGCCGCTGACTCCAAGTCTTTTAAAAACTACTAGCCAGGGAACCAGTACTCTTTCATACAGTTAAGGCCACAAACACTTCATAACACTTCGATCAGCATATCAAAATATAGTACACTAAATGAATCCTAATCTTAAACAAAATATTTTTCAAATGAACGTTACTTAAAATTGATACAGTGAAATGTACTTAATGAACACGCTAGAGAGTATTCCTGAGGTTTTTAATAAGGGATAAATATCTGATTAGTTAGCATAATCCTGTTAATCAATCTTACAGAGGGAGAGGCGTGTACAGTTGTTGAGACACCTGAACAAAATATAGAATAGACAGTACAGAATAAGTCAGCAAGTTATAAAAGTCTCATCAAAAATATAAGGAACTAGGGGATAAGTGCAGAAATTCAAATAATAAGGAAACAGGAAGCAACAGATCAGAAAAACCAGTAAATAATGTGTTTCGAATGGTGGTTTATGGAAAACCGAACTATTAAACACCATCAATGATTGAATGATAACGCACTCACAGTGACACTCCTTGAATAGATACCTCGTGGGGTCATGAATTCGCGCTGTTGACAAGTTTCAAGTTAAGACGAAACGATTGTTCGATCCTGGTAGATTTTCAATGACTCTTTTCAACTGATACCAATCAATATTGAAAATTACCTTGGAATAATCCATTTGTCAAAGTACGTTGTATTTGGCCTACAGACAAGGGGCATGAATCAACATTGATTTACAGGGAACTAGTAGAATAAATAAGTGGCTGGAAATACAACCTAATATACCCTTGGCATATATGAAGCATATCTAGTGATAACCAATCTCATGACGCTGAGTCATAGCCGTAGATAAAGTAGGACCTCATGCGAATGTGTATCCATTGAATTTGTTTTCCTTCATGTCAGTACAGTGAAGAGAAATAGAAACAATGTCGATATGGATAAAGAATAATAGGCAGTATATAAAGTAAATAAGACGAACAAAAGATTTAGAGGAGGATAAGATGTGGCAGCACTCGAGTCATCGCAAATAATTTCGAACCATATCCTTAGCTTCAACTAGATGTCGAATTATTATGCATGAAACAATAGTAGAAACACTGTTAATTTCTCCGTTTATTACACAGGAGTACTTGCTTGTTCCTGCTGATTTCCTCTTGGACATTTCATACAGGTCAGTAATCTTTACTAGATTAGGCGTTGTTCAAAATCGAAACTGAAGAACTGCTTTGATGACTTCTAATTACGTGGTGAAAAAAAGGTTGCCTATGAAGTAACCAGTTTCTACAATTACTTTAGACTCTAAGAGGATTTAAGAATAAGCCCAGCTCTGACCAGGAACTCAGACCCAGAACCGAGGTATCAGTTGAAGAAATTATGCTCGGAGTATAATTATGCTTGATGTCTACAAGTTTCAAGAAAGGATATACACATAAACGGAAAAAACGCTAACATCCTCAATACTGGCAGTTTCATTCATGGATGGTTAGGAAGAAACAGTTCTTAGGACACTTATTCCTGCTCTTGAATATACGGAGGAGATAAGCATATGGCACATGCTATATTGAAGTCAGAACATATCGACAAATTTTGCACACATATTCAGTTGTAGACGAATCCTGTTTTCTTATGAATTACAATGATGTAGAACTAGTTAAGCTGGATTGTGGGATGAAAAGAAGACAACATAGATGCTTAAACGCTAGTGTATGCACCAAACCTGCACATTGGAATAGATACTTGGACTTCCATCTCATCCTATGCCAGTTAAAATAGGCTTTGC